CTTAAAAAAATTTAATAAAGGTTTCCAAAATGAAATAAACGTAAAAAATTATATCTACAATCAAATCAAATAATTAAAAGAAAATTTAAGTTAAAAAACGAAAAACATTAAAGTAGAAAAATACGTTTCCCGAAGTTTCGAACCCGGATCTCTCGAATCGCACGGCCATTGCGACTGCTGGAGCGACGCGAGCTAAATGAAATACAAGGGCTTTCTCTCAAAATACCTTTTCACTATGAGTAGTGAATGGGAGAGCTTTTTTATAAGCTTATTGCACAAGAAAGTCTCTCGAACTATCTTTCCATCTGTCTTTCATTTGTGTTTTTGCTATCTAAACCAGAATTCGCTTGCAATGGAGAGCGTAGAGAAGCTAAATGGCAAGCGGCAGGGTCTTCATCTTCTGAGTACCGAACCATTAAGGCATAGAAGGAAACGAAGAGGCAGACTTAAGTATTTACCAAAAGGCTAGAGCAATTACACTGATAGAACCGGAGCCCTTCCCTACAGACAATCAGAAAACAGCTTAGGAGCTTATCAATCTCCCGAGGAACGATAGAATCTTCTGACAGGTCATAAACTCGGGTTTCTGAGCATCTACTCCTAGAATGGGATGCAGTGACGGGAAGACTAAAAGAGAAATATATACCTCGGGTCATTGAGCTGGCATTCAAAGCACACATACATACATATCTCAACAAATATCTGTCTATGTGTCTAACTTTCATTTAGCTTCTGTTCAGAAAATCGTTGGGTAGCTGCCGAGTGTGAGTTAATTCTTGCTTGTGGAAAGCGCCCTTAATTAAAAATTGGCCGTGCCTGTGAGAGTTGCTTTTACAACTTCTTTTCGTACATTCTCTTTTCTCAATGCTTTAAAAAATTATGTTGTGCATTCTGCTGTTTATCGGCCTTCTTGCATATTTCACACATTTTTTATGTTACTCATTTTTTTCAATATTTACATAACATAACTCCAAATAAAAAATCTCTATTTTTGTGATGACATACATACATGTGCTTATATTTACTAGCATCTTTCCAAACTAAGTACGTATGTATGTACGTATGTAAGTATGAATTAAAGAAAGAAGTGCACAAACAAAATAAATAAAGTAAATGTAAACGTTTTGCATATGAAATTCAGAAAAAATAATTTTGTGTCCACTCAGCAGAAAGTTGTTAACACATTTTTTTATGAGTTGTCGTTATTATTTAGTATGACGGTGTGTAGACAAAATAAATCTTTTCAGAGCTGAAAATGGCTTAGTTAGGTACTCAGTACGTCAGTCTGTTAGTTGGTCGCTTAAAAAGTACAAGCAAGTACACTTGCTGCTTGCTAGTTGTGGTGCCTCAATTATTCTTATTATTTTTAGCATTTTTTATAAAATTTTGATTAGTTGCATAAAAGTATGTTGAAAATTTCTTGCATGAAAAAATGGTCGGGTGTTTACGTGAATGCATTTGAAAAAAAAAAATAATGTATTGGATACAGATTTTAATCTTCGAGTTAACAGGTGATTTGCAGTGAATACAGTGAAAGACGAAATAAAACTATAATATTTCAAGCTAAATTCCGAAATTTTTAGAAAAAGTTTACTACGAATGTGAATAAAAGCTAGCTTTATCCGATATAGAATTTTGAGTTTATTTGTTAGAAAAATACGTGAGCTTCTTCGTGCTATTCTACTACGACGCGTCGGTCACAATTTGTCTATGGAAGAGCTAAGAAAATAACAAATTTTGTCAATAGAAATGGTCTTACGCTCAAACCAACTGGTGACGCATTTTTAATGCAGTACTGCGCGACGCACAGTGGTGTGCAATTAAAAAATTCGGGTTTAAAATGGCGTAGAGCTTCCAGCTATTAGCTGATTTGATTACACTGTGAGACAAATGGTAGGGGTCAGTGATCGGGAAGGGTTCAAACTACCGGGGAAAGTTATATCGGTAAAAAAGAAGTTATACGTGTCCCGGCGTTTCGCTGGGTCACGTCTAGGAATCGAGATATATATATATATAACTATCATATAGGGGAAATTGTCACCTTTGGTGGTCTTTTTTTGACATAACTCGAGAACCGCTAGTCCGATTTTGCTCAAACAAATTAAAAAAAATTAAAAATTACAATTCCTTTTATCTGTTCATATAACGTTTTTCTATATAATCAACAGTTTTAAAAAGATTTAATATTTTAGGCAAAAAATATTTTTTTTCTTCATACATTTATTTTTACCGGCAAAACCCAGCGAAACGCCGGGACACGTATAGCTTGTTTTTGACCGATATAACATTTCCCGTTGGTTTCATCCCATCCCGATTTTGACTGTCGCATAGTGTTATTATTATTATTTTTTTTTAATAAAAGCTGATGTGAGATTTTTAAGAGATTTGTTGAGGCCGATTTTTGAATTATTATTTGTTTAAACTAAATTTGTAAGTGCAAAACGCAGGGAAAGGAGCAATTTTGAAAAAAGCTGTTTCTCCTGTTGCTGTTAATGAATTTTAGATAACAAAAACTCGTTGAAAACAATTATAGGCTTCCTCCAGAAGAAGAAATTAAAAATAAATTACCAAGAAAAGCTTAACACGTTATAATTTTTTTGGCGGGGTGTTCAGCATTTTCTTCCCTACAACGCATCACTAAAATTTATTTTTTTTACCATATAGAAGCAAATGCTCGACACCTTCGGCAAAAGATTCTAAAAAATCAACGGTAATCTTTAGCGACTTAAAAATTGCACTTTATTACGCTTAAGTAGAATGGGTTACAAAATTGCATATCGAAAATTTTTAAAAATTCTAGGAAAAAATTTTGAAATTTTGATGGAATTTTTTGAAATTTTATTAATGGTTGTGAACTTTTTGCAAGCTCTAAAACTTTTATTTGTGTTGTTTCTGTTATAGATCGAACTATAATTTAAACGAAAATTGTTAAAAATAAATAAATAACAAATAAATAATAATAATAACAAATAATAATAAAAATAAATAAATAAAATGCATAAAAATAAATAATATATATATAAAACATAACTTGCAACAATGCCATTCTGAATTTTGGTGGTATTATTTTGAACAAAACTGTATATATTTCCATTTTTAAAGCAATAAAAACTAGAAATTAAATACAAATAAATCAGTTTCTTTTGAAAACAATAACATATAAAAATTTTATTAAAAAATTAAAAAAAACCAGTATAATCAAATGAAATTAGAAAAACATTTTGCCTTTTTCAAACAGTAAAATGTAGATATTAAAAATAAATAAACTAAAAGAAGTAAAAATAAAGTAAGTTCCTAAGAATTAAATGAAATTAAAAAAATATATATATATTTTTTATACTAGTTTACCCTAACAATTAAATAAAAATTAAATTAAAAAAATTACAATATTTAAAAAATAGTTCTTAAAATTAGTGACATTGGAAAAAAATATTTTTCGTTTTTAAATAATATAATCTTAAAAGTAAAAGAAAATAAATAAATAAATAAATAAGTTCCTCAAAATTAAGGGAAATTGAAAAAAGTTTTCTTCTTAAAATAATTTAACCTGAAAATTAAAAGAAAATTAAACTAAAAAAGAATAAAATTAACTAAAAGAAGTAAACTTAGTTCCTTAAAATTTAATGAAATAAAAAATAAAACTATTTTTCTTTTTATATAATATAATCAAAAAATTAAGAGAAAACTGAATAAAGTAAGAATAAATTTAAACAAATAAGTTCATAAAAATTATATGAAATAAAAAAAAAATAGTTTTAATATACTTCTAATACTAAATGAAAACTAAGTTAACAAAAGAAAGAAATTAAATTAAATAAAAATAAAGTAATACTTAAAGAATAAGAAAATAATAAAAAATCTTAAATTTTAAAGCGAAATTTAAAAATTAATTAATTAGAAAAATTTAAAAAAAGAAGATCCCAGAAATGATATCAATTAAAAATATATATTTTTCATTTTAAAACAATAAAATCTAAAAGTTAAAGGAAACAAGAAAAAAACTAATTTAGTGAAAAAAGAAAAAATAAGTAAAATAAATATCTAAAAATTAAATAAAACTTAAAAATATCTTTCCTTAAAAAGAATAAAATCTAAAAATTTTAAGGAAATTAAACTACAAGAAATCTTAAAAAGTAAAAAATAAAATAAGTTCAAAAAAATTAAATGAAATAAAAAAAAATGTATGCTTCTATTTAAAAGAATAACATCTAACATTTAAAAATAAAATAAATTAAGAAATAGAAAAATTATACTAAAAAAGAAAAAAATTAATAAAATGAGAGTCAAAAATTAAATTAAATTAAAAAATACATATATATGTATTTTATGCTTACAATCTAAAAATTAAGAGAATTTTTGTTCAATTAAGTATATCTGAGATTTTTACTTTTAGACAGGGTTCGTATTTGCACACACATGTGCAGCACATCCTAACATTTTAAGCTCACACACGTGTGCTGTGCATATAAAAAATTAAAAATTTGCTCACATCACATGTGTGTGCCGTTTGGTAAACAGCACGGGCACATGTGTGTACTTTCTTTTTATTAATGTAAAGCACACGCACATGTGTGTGCTATGCGTAGAGAAACTTATACACTTCGAATTCTAACTCAAATCTTAAAATAATTTTTTAATATGTTTTCTGTCATATATAAAACAAACAACATCTCACTTTTTATTGAATTGTCTTTCAAAAAATAACGTTTAATAAACAAATTCTTTTAAGAATATATTATGTGCATGTGCATGGGCTGAAATTTGTACAAAAATCGGCTCACACACATGTGCATGTGCTTAATAACAAACAGCACACACTTTTCTGTGAGTAGAGTTTGTTTTCCACTTATGCACACACATGTGTATGAGCAGTGAGTGCAAGTTGAATGTGTTTCTGGCGTGTGTGTGAGCAGAGCATGTGTGTGCAAATACGAACCCTGCTTTTAGATTCCAAACAACTATTTTTCGATACAAATATGATTCCCGTTTTCTATTAAAATAAAACTCCTTTTTCAATTTCAGTGCTACAAAATGTGGTCTATGCTTATGTTCAACTGTCACCTGACCACTCACCCAAAACATTTGAGATGTTAAGCAATAATTTGTCGCCCTCCAGCCAGAAATTTCTTTACAGTGGTCATCTGCATAACGACAATGACCTCAACGGCATAGACTTCCAATTGATGAGTGACGACAGCCGAGATAGCGAAGCGGTTGACAACAGAGGCAACCAAAACAATGACTACGAATGGCAAATAGGAAGTGAAAGAGAAGAAACGGAGAGGCAAAAATACACAAAAATTTACGAAAAAGATGTAGAAACGACAACGGAAAAGGAATATCTATCAAACCAAATAGTGCAAAAGGATGAAGAACGCTTTGTACAGCATAACCATAAAAGCAAAACAAGCAACAACAATAATAACAATAGCAACAGCAGCAGCAGTAACGATAACAGCAACAACAACAACAATAACAGCAGCAATAAAACCGCAACAAAAAGTAGTCCCGAAAAACAAATAAACCTAGTGAATGACAAAGAAACGATGACAACAAAGTCGAATGCGGGCGTGACGGACACACAACCGCAGATGCGGGTCAAAAATGATTTGCACAATGTTGGCGGCGGCACAAATGAAACGAACACAATTCGCTCGAAGGCAATATCAAAAACTACATCGACAACTGCAACACAAAATACAAAACCAGCAGCTCTATCGCTTGCCGGACGCAACACAATTGCCAGCAGCAGCAATAGCGCCACAACAGTAACAAGCTCGAGGACGAGTGCCGCACAACCATCAGCAAACACAAAACTGTTTCAGCAGCCGAATGGCTTTCTCAATCCATTCGGACAATTAGTCGCCTTCTTTGGCAACGATCAATTGCATCTGCAGGATTATACTTTCTTTTTCAATGCCGAGCGCCATACAGTATTCCAATTGCACACCAACGACGACAACAACAACAACAACACTAATCAGATTGCTAACAACAATGCTATGCCAACGTCCTTAGTTTCAACAGTGACGGCCAATGGTGGGCGTGTATTGAACGTAGTTGCGGACTCTATCGGTGCAGTGTTTGGTGTAAATACGCCAACGACAGGCACAACAGCTGCTACGACCGACACAGTTGCTGCAGCTTCTACAGCAGCAGCCACCGCCTCCAACTCCGCCACTCCCTTGTCACCCCAGATCAAAGTCGAAGAGGTGCAGCTATACAATGGGAAATCTTTGCGGCAGTCACGTTTCAATCCCTTCAATCCAACGCGGTAAGTGATGGTCGACAAAAGGGCTTTAAGCAGAAATGAATTATGTGTGTCAGGCGGGCAGTGTCTCGAATTGTTGCAAATGCAGTAGCAATGTTGAAATGTTGAATTGTATAGATGAAATGTGAAATTGAGTTTGAATGTGAGTGGATATGTGTGGGTGTGTGTGTGTGTGTGTGTAATGTATGCAGCAGATTTGCCACATTTTCGAAATTCGATTTGTGCCAATCGTGCTTAGAATGCTGATGGTTTATCGATGTAGTAGTATTTGTGTCATAGGGGCACTAGTTGCTTAGTTAGATTATCTTTAGTCTCTTGACCTGCTCTACGCTTTGGCGCACTATACAGCAGCAGTGTTTGTTGTTATGAGTTGCCACGTCATTGCATTTCAAAGGCTGCCGATTAACAAGCAATGGCGCAGCGAGTAATTTGATTTGATTTTTTATTATACATACATTTTTTTGTTTGCTGGATAAGTAATTTGGCAAAGTATAACGTTCTTGGGAATATAGTTGGTCTAATAGAACTTTAAAAATTTGATTTTCAAAGCTAATATCTTGGATATGGAAAACTGATTACCCTGGCAGCAGGACTAAATGGAAGCCTGTGATGGGTAAACTTAAAGGATTTAGTTTCACACATTCTGCCGTCATGCATTCTGTAGTGTCCGACTATCATATGAGTCTCCAGTGTGTATGCGGTAGCGCATGATGTGGTAGAGGGGAGTGGTTGTTCCTCTTCACTCTCTGAAAGACATTTATTTCCGGCGCAATGGGGCTGATGCAGCCACATGCAACATCCTTAAATTCAGAACTATTACATCCGATTTCGGACAGGAGAAAGTCGCACTCTTAGCTAGGAAAGGTTGCCCGAAGGGTGGGGTGATCTCCCTTGTGGTCCATCGTGGTAGAGGAACCACTCTGCCTTTTTAGCGAAAAAGGCTGCAATGTTCAGGGCTACGCGGAAGACATTGTCATCCTTATCAGAGATAGGTTTGAAGACACTATCTCCAACCTTTACAGTATGCACTGAACAGAGTCATGAAATATCGCAGTGGTAATGGATTAAACTTAAATCTCCTCTAAAGAAAAAAAAAAAAAAACCAACTACCAACAGCCAGTAATTCAATGAGAAAAGATACACTCCTCCAAAGAAGTCAAATATCTAGGAGTTATCCTTGATGACAAGCTGTCATGGAGTCCGCACCTACATATGTAGGAACTGCCGGAAATTAATGGAGTGGAACAGGGGTGTCCGAACTAGGTGCAAGGAAAGGTGGATGTATGATGCCTTCTTCAAAACCATTCTGACTTAATGTACGTCAGTCTGGTGGAAGAAGCAGAAGTGAAGTCTACGCAGGCCAAACTCAGTAAATGACTAGCATGCGAGGGCAACATTGGCGCGATGAGCAGAACGCATCCCCTACACATTGCATCCAAAAAGATGCTCCACTGTTTACTGCAAGGCCCATCTCAGCAAGGGGGAAGACAAGAAGCGCATACACCCTCAGAATCATAGAACAATAGGACGGGCTGCGCATTAGCATTGTGGACATGTACCTTCCTAGATTGAACTTCAAGGTGTTTTTCCCAAACAGAACCAGATGGGGCAATGCACGCCCTAAACCACGCAAGGTCAGCCACATCTGGTATACTGACGGTTCCAATACTGACCACGGCGTCGGAGCAGGAATCTACGGCATACGCCCCAGTATGCTTCTCTTCAACAACATGACGCAGGGTAACTCTGTTTTTCAGGCCTACGAGCATGCCATTGAACTATGCCTGAGGCAGTATATAGAAAATTAACACATCTACAAATACTCGGACAGCAGAGTGGCGCTCCTAGCTCTTAAAGTACACGAGGTTACCTCAAAGCTAGCATTAAGCTCAATACATATTACTAGGCAAATACTGTCTATTAGACAGTCTAAAGTTTTTCATTCCAGCCAGAAGCACATAACCTAAATGGCCTTCGGTTAAAGGCCCTTGCGAAGTTTCTTAGTAATACGTGGATCAAAGAAGGTCTGTAGTCAAACATAGGTTTGTTAACATAAATCCATTCACGGACGCGGTAACTAGGTGATCTGCTCCCTCCTCTAAATCTAATCGAATCGAATTCAATCCTCAAGACAATGGACTATGTTGTTGTAAGTAGGTGAAGAGGTAAGAGCTTGCATACCTAGCACTCAAGGTCAGGCTTCTAACGAGTTCGAGACTAGATCAGCAATGCAAGTTTCACCTGAATTATGTTGGACAGGTAACACCAGAATCCCTGGTAACGAGGCATCTGACTATTTGTCTAGTTAGAGCTCAGGCCAGGGATTCGTTGGTCTGCAGCCAGTTATAGTACCCCAACCAATGGTCATCGAAGTCCCCGTCAGAACATAGGGAAATATTTTGCTCAGCAATGACTAGCTTCGAAGATGTTGGACAAAATCATATGATTCCCTCAATATCCGAAAGTCTAGATTTAGACTGCATTAGCTTGTATAGGCCTTTGCCCGAATTAGGTATTTGGCAACTATGCATGGATAGTTAAATACCCGAGTACTTTGACATATAACAATCTGCATCGTCATAGTCAGGGATCCAAAATAACAGTTATTTCATAGATACTAATCTTAAATGATTTAAATATACTTTTCGAAAAAAGTTAAAAATTTATCGTCATTTTTTACCGGTATTTTATAAATCAAAAATAAAAATAAAAGTTAAAATTTGTCTTTTCCTTAACCGAACAAAAATAAAAGTTATTACTTGATTATTTTCGATAAAAATAAGAGTTAAAATTTAATCACTATTGTAGTGTAAGTTATAAAACTTCCGTTGATTTATAAGCAATAAAACAATCGATTGTAAACTATTACATCTGACCGAAAAATAAAAATAAAAAATTTAAACTGTTATTTTTGATCGAAAAATTACAAGTTCAATTCTAAACGTCATTTTTGATCGGAAAACAAAAGTCAAATATTGCCAACTATTTTTGTTCGAAAAATAATAGACTTTAACGGTTATTTATGACCGAAAAAATAAAAGTGCAGTACCAACTGTTGTTTTTTTTTTTTTATAGGAAAAATAGCTTTTGACTCTTATTTTTGATTGAAAAAATTTAAGTCATATTTTACCTATTATTTTTGGTCGAAAAATAAAAAAAGGGATTTAACTGCTATTTTTGATTGAAAAAATAAAACTTCAATATTAACTATTATTTTTGATCGAAAAATAAATGTCAAATATTGACTGTTATTTTTGATTGAAAAAATTTTAAGTCATATTTTAACAAATATTTTTGATCAGAAAGCAAAAAAAAAGACATCAAACTGTTATTATTATTATATTAGGAAAAATAGCTATCAAATATTGACTGTTATTTTTCATCGAAAAATACAAAAAGACATTCAACTGTTATTTTTGATTGAAAAAATAAAATTCAAATGCTGCCCGTTATTTTTATAACGAGATAATAAAATTTTATTATTAGCTGTTTTTTTTTTTAACGAAAAAATAGAGGTCAGTGGTTGACTTTTATTTTTGATAAAAAAAAAAATCAATTAATATTTTAGCCGAAAAATTTAAAATTTTTACTCTTAATTTTCGATCGAAAAAATATCGACTTTTTCGAAAAAACCATAAAGGCTCTACTGCTTACTATTAGTTTTTATTAGGGATGTGCGATTGACCGAACAAGCTGACTAATCGAAACCTTATTAATTAATTAATCAAAGATTAATAATTTTTGATTAATCAAAGTGATTAATTTCTCGATTAATTACATTTTGATTAAAAGAAAACTGATTAATCATAACCTGGTTATTCAGAAACCTGAATAATTGCTGCTATGATTTCTGTTTTTTTAATAGAAAAAATTTATAGACATAAAAATGTATGTGTGTGTATGTATATGTACTTTTTTATTTCAAGGAGCAACATAGTAATGTGCTCGCTTGGTATTATATTTTTGTTAATAAGAAAAATATTGTATCTATTACATTATAAACAAATTTCGTTTGCTTTGAAAGCAAACTCGAGAGAAATTAACACATTTACTCAGATTGAAATTCGTTTATGAGTGAACAATAATTACTCAGAGTCTAATTAATCAGGCTTTAGTTCATAAAATTTTTTGATTAATCAAGATTATGACTAATGATTTGATCGATTAATCGCACATCCCTATTTTTTGAATCTAGTTTACTAATAATTTTTTCATTGTGTTTAACTTAACAACTACAAGCTTTAATTGTTTTCGCTCTTCCAAACAGCATTCTCATACACGGTTGGCTTGGTGGCGCCAATGCGGGCGTCTATCAAACGCTCGTGCCGGCTTATCTTCGTCAAGGCAGTGGCAATTACAACGTCTTCACCGTGGATTGGAGCCGAGGTGCTGTAGCAGACTACCTTACGGCTAGTTATCGCGTCAAACCAGTTGGCAAAGTATTGGCGAAATTCATCGATTTCTTGCAACGTGAAGCGGGCATACGCTATGAGGATTTGCATGTGATCGGCTTCAGTATGGGCGCACACATTGCGGGCATCGCAGGAAAGCACATACAAACCGGCCGTTTGCCGGTGATCTATGCACTCGATCCAGCGCTACCTTTCTTCCGCTACGAGAATTTCGATGAACGCATCGCCATCACCGATGCTGATTATATTGAGGTGGTGCACACGAGTGTCGGCTCGTATGGTTACGATCGGCCGCTGGGTCATGTGGACTACTATGTGAATTACGGCAGCGCGCAACCGGGCTGCTTTCTCAACGAGTGCAGCCACATTCGCGCCTTTCAAATATTCGCCGAGTCATTGCTGGCGAAGGAGGCGTTTCGCGCGCAGGGCTGTGATGTTAAGCTATGGCCGGATATGATTAAGCATAGAAGGTGTTTGATGGGTACAGGTAAAGAAATGCTGCTGGGTGGCGATCCAGCGAATGTGACGGCGTTACGCGGACGTGGTGGCGTATTTTACTTGGCGACAAATGCAGGGCCGCCTTATGCGAAGGATGTCACATGAGAGAGAGAGCGCAAAAAGGAACGGTGTTTATTTGCTTAATGTACGCTTGATAGAAAATGGCAAGAAAAACAAAAAACAAAAAAAAAAAATTGTGAAAAATTAAAAATTGCAATGAGCATAAAAATGCAGTGCGACTATTTGTGTTTTCTTTGTAAATGAATTTTAATTAGTCACTGTGACTTTTCGGCGACTTATGCACACATACACACACACACACACACACAAAGCTTTGAAAAGCAGCGCATTTCCATTTTTATAACGAAAAAAAACTGCAATTGCTTTTACTTTCGCTTATGCGCCTATTTGTATGCAATGAATTCTGTTATGTGTTGCACATTGAAATGGAAATTAAAAAACGCTGCCAAGTGTGAAATTCCTTCACAAAAGCACATTTAACCCCAGTATTCATTTTTCATTACGGCTGCTATTTTCGCTGTCGTTTTTTTTTGTATTTGTTAACCCATTGCTGTAGATTCTTATGCATTGCAGAAAGTAAAAGCTTGGCGTGATTGTCGAAATGCTTGCATGCCTTGGGAATATGTGGCACGCGTAGTGCATTCACTCTGTGTTACACAGCTGCCAGCCAGCCAGATGTCATGGATGGTGGGAGAAAATTCACTCTGTGAATTTGTTTTTTAAATAGTCAAAACATTTGCGAAATTTATTTAACGACATTTGTATGTCGACTGTAGAGTTGCCAAGCACTAGAAATCATAAAATATGGTAACAGAGTCTTTAACCATAAGGCGCCTAGTTCCGATTTGCTGTTGCTTAAAGTAAACTCGAATATCTTGTAATGCTGCTTTCAACTTAGCTAGTTATTTCGAGACATTTGTAAGATTACTATTTCGTCTGGTATAAGCTAGGGCTAGGCAAAGAAGCGTTGCATGAAGTTTTCATACTTTTACTCGGAGGAATTTTTTCCCTATGGTGAAAGCCTTTTACGAGTGCCCAAGTTAAACCAAAGTGTCCGATGGTTTCACTTTCGTCATCTCCACCGAGAGGATGAAAAAGTGGGATGTCAAGTACTTCAGCCGCTTTTTTAAAGCCTTCTTAAGCGTCTATTCTTTTACTTAACATCATCTTAAGCAGGTGGCAACTCTCTTTTAAAATGTTTAAAAAACAAAGCTTTTTTATAATTCTTTAGATTAACATTCATATTGTAATACTTTATGTAATTTATGAAAAAAGCGATTGACTTTTCAATATTTGGCAACCCTCTTAAAAGTACTTGCAAAATCAAGCTTTCTAAAACCTCAATTTTTCACCACGAATATTTAAAATAGGTGGCAATCCTCTTCAAAAAATTTGTTTTATTTTAATACAGCTTTCTGTAAGCCAAACAAACATACAATTTAATAATATTTGTAGAATTTCATTTAATTTGTCAATTAAATTGATTTTAAATTCCTAAGCTGGTGGCAATACTCGTCAAAAATATTTTTGAAAAAGCTATAGCTCTCTTAAAAATTCTACCATTCGTTACTTCACTTAACTTGTTAATTGAAGTGATTTTAAGATTCTAAACAGGTGGCAGCACCATTTAAAATATTTTTGAAATAAAGCTACATATCTTACACCTCTGCCATTTGATATCCATGATAAAATATTTCGTTTAACTTGTTAATTAAGTTGATTTTAAATATTACGTTTAAATTGAATTTAACTTTTAGTATAGGTGGCAAATCTATTGAAAAATATTTCCGAAATGAATCGTTATTGAACCCCTTTCATTTGACAACCGTAGTCTTTTATTTAACCTACCAATTAATTGATTTTAACTTTTTCTAACAGGTGGTAACCCTTAAAAAATATTTTCGATATTTTCTCGCTATCTTCTTGCTGGCAGTTGTGACATTTTCTTTTAAAGGGTAGTTCTATTCTTCCCGCAAGGTGTCTTTGTCCTATGTCCTTCATCTACATGGCATATCAAACCTCCCACGTCTATTATACTTAGGCAGACCCAAGATGCCTTGATATTTTGAAAGTCTGTATATCTTACCACCTCTTTCTTGCTAATATGGAAAAATGCAGATTAATTTATTTTTGAATTATCTATATCAAAAAATAATCTTAATCTTCCGATGGTCACGAACCTTGAAAAGGGCGACGATCCTTGACTGAGGTTCTGAGTGTAATTCCACTTGTTCGTCAAAATCTATATATCATTGCTTTGTTTTCGTTCGAAACTATATTTCCTAAGATCTTACAGGCTTCAATTAAACCTGGAGTTTCCGCATGGAAGATCTTTACCTGTATTTTTTTCTAAACAAAGAGATTCAGTCACCTCCAGTTTAGCGGAATAGATTTCTGTCCTTACTGCACAATCGTCCTCGGATCTATCAGAGGGAGATAGCGTCTGTATCGGCCACTTGGCCTTTCCTGCATTCTCTTCTGGCTGGAAATTTTACTTGTACTTTACGGTTGTAGAGTCAAATAAGAAGAAGAAGTGCACACTACATCCTTCAGCGGACAAAGCCAAACATCGAGTGTCAATACCCAGTGCGCCTCTTGATTTCACCAGCGGTGAGACTTAGGTAGCCATAGGGAAAGCGAAAGACTCCAAAGTCATATGACCCGGCGGAATATGTATACTGAGGCTGAAAAAATTGTGTCCTACGGGAGTATATTATCTCAGCAAGGTACTCAATCTCTCCATGGCCACTCTCATCATTCTGAAGATCTAGAAAATAGGGAGAGTGGTTTCATAGCTTAATCCGGGGTAAGCGGCCAACATAGGGTAGTCCTATCGTCCGTTAACATTCCTTTCCCCGGTAGCGCAGACACTTGACACTTTGCTACTGCCGCAATACACGCACCGATTGACCACAGCGTGGTATCAGCAAGGGTTCCGTTAAGTGCACAGCTCAATAACAGCATTTAACGTCATAAACCCTCAGATTAGTCGCGGCCCGAACCGAAACCGCCCCTGTAAGAGAACAGCTCTGGTAGCGTTGGAATTGTCAAAGCCGTTTGACACCGTCAGCTCCTCCACGCTATTAGAAGACATTGAGGCTTCCTCTCTCTCGCAGAGACTCAAACGGTGTTCAGCGAATTATCTGAGTGTTCGACATTCGTTAGTAATTTTCAGAGACAAAACCAGCAAACCAAGGAAAATTAAACAGGGGGTTCCACAGGGTAATGTACTTTCGCCGCTGCTGTTTACCTTCTATATTTCAAATCTCCCTCAACCACCAGAGTTAGCCTCTTATGCAAAAACTGCTCGATAATGGCATCCGGGGGGTTACCTATCCGAACTTTTTTCCTTTTTCACTGCAAGGACCCCAACCCTCCCCCCTACAAAATCCTCGGCAACCCTTTTTACCACCTGCATGAAGGAGGTCGGACTAATTCTCACATATCATTTGGAAAGAAATCATCACTAGTCGGCAACTCTGTTCAAATATGTCGACAGCTGTGTCAAACTTTCAGAAATTAGAAATTGCAAGAGGCGGCGAAAAAGGCGAAAGTGTCATACTGACACACTGAAACGGATATGAACACGAAAATGCATATATGCTTGTACATTAGGGTGCCCCACTAAAAAAAAAGATGCGGTTTTTTACCATAGTTATAAAATTTATTACATTCGGCTACAGACTGCGATAAAATATTAAAATTTACGTAAGCGGGACCGATTTGAAAATATCTCCAAAAGTCTCGTTATTTTGAATCCGTTGATAAAATTTGTAATTAGTTTTTTGCCGATCTTCTAAGCTTAGGGTCTTTTATCATCTGAAGTGAATTTTTGGAAATTTTTTTTGAAAATTAATTTTATTTAATTTTAAAATTTAATTTAAACTCTATTTTTAGCGATATTTTCAAATCGGTGCAGCTAACGTAAATCCTAATACTTTTCTGAAATACTTGGCGAAAGTCTCAAAATATTATAGATTTTATAATTACGCTGGGAAAAAGTACCAACTTTTTTTTATACGGCGAATGATGCACCCTAATGTACGTACATACATAAATACATATGTACACACATGCATGCATATATAAGTTAGACTATTTGTAGGTAAAAGCGCTGCCATAGATAAGCATTTAGAGCGTCATAACCCGCACATAAACACACGTGCACACTAACATGAGCTTTCATATGAATTAATAATTCAAAGACTCGCCATTACTGGCATAAATTTGTGTGCAACGCACAGGCTGAGGCAGTCATATTAACTCACTCATACGTGCACACCAGCGCTAAAGAGCACAAAACCAACGAGGAGCAAAATTAAACAAAAAAAACTAGGATTAATTGCAAAAAGATCAGGAAACAAACATTGAATAGGAATATGAAAATGAATCCTTTACTACTAACTATTTGTGAGATGCCTGTGGGTTGACTGCATCTCTAAATCAAGTGGGGTTAGCAAGTGGCATAAAAACTTTGCTTGTCGATCGGTTCGGTTCAGCTCGGATAGCTGGTTAGCTAGCAGCTGACTGGATCTATACTCGCTGGCTCATATTTGTGACCTATTTTTCGTGTGTACCATTGCCTGCTTCTTCGTTTAGCTGAAGTGAGCGAAAGATGTTGCATATTTTCAGGTCACCATTAAGATATGTATATATATTTAGATATGCATATATATCATACATACAATACGTTTGCAAACATATTTTGTTGTGTCTAAGCATACCCGTACATTTAAACTTATGCAATTAAATCTCAAAAATTCTTGCTGCGCAGTGAACAAATTTTTATTATTTGCTAACAAAATCTCATTCACAATCACAGTTAGTAACAAAAACCTCAACATGAGCTGAAGCGCTGTAGGAATAACTACATTCATGCATAAACATTAGACAGCATCGCCACATAGAGTAACGGTTTTTCCGGCGGGACGACAAGATTTATTATATTTGAAAATTTCCCCCAAAATATTTCGGAAAAATATTCGGATGTGCGTGAGCTGGACCGATTTGAAAATATCTCTAAAAATGGAATTTTTTGTTCTATTAATAGAAGTAGTTTCTTAAAGTTTTTTTTGAAAAAATCCCCTTAGATGACAGAAAAGTTTAAGCAAAAAAAAAATCAACATAAAAACAATAAA